TCGACAGCCACTGTACATGGAATTGCCTCAGTACTATCGACCCAAAGATTATGAAGGACAGGACTGTTTTTGAAACTTGACAAGTCCATCTATGGCAGACCGATTCACCTAAATTATTTTATGAGCATCTATGTCGCGGGATGATCCAACTTGGTTTCGAAACCTCGGCAGCAGACCCATGTTTGTTTATTCATAAGGAGCATAACTCATGGTATTAAATTATTGTGATGACCAAATCTGGCTCAGTCCAGACAATATCTGATTGAGTCCTATGTGGCAGCTCCAGAACTTGGATATACCTCACCATGGAAGAAAAAGGGTACATCTTTGGATTCCTCTGGCATTAATTTTGAAAGACAGGGAGACAATGTGAGCTTACTCAAAAAGGGCTCATCAATAAAGTCATCGAATATACTGGTATGTCTGCGCTAGCAAGAAGCTTTCTCCTGCCCCACCGATCCTCTCGGAGTGACAAACTGGGGGCCCCATTTGAAGAAGAGTGGAGCTATCCACTGCATTGGGATGCTCTTTATATTGCGTCGAACACTCGCCCAGACATCACATTTAGTGTGCACCAGGTGGCACGATTCAGTCACAATCCCAGGCATTCCCTCCTCAAGCAATCAAACGTATCATTCGGTATCTGATTGGCACAAGTGACAAAGGCATTTGTTTTAGCCTAAACTTGATCAGGGACTTGATGTTGGGTCGATGCTGACTTCGCCGGATTTATGGATATGAGGATGATCAGGATCCTTGTGTCGTCAAGTCTCGCATGGTTTGTCTTGACTTTTTTGGGTGCCCCATCATCTTGTCCAGCAAGCTACAGACTGACATTACTTTGAGCTCCATGCTGCTGAGTATGTTGCCTTCAGCATGTCAAGAGGGAGCTGCTTCCTATGCGAGCTTGCTAAAGAAATTGGTAGCAAACTGAATATGCCGGTAATTACTGAAGTCTCGTGCGCTCTACAGTGTTCGAATACAACCAAGTTGCTTGTCTCTTTTGAATGTTCCCAAAATGTCCGCGCGCACAAGTATTGCATTGAAGTACCACTTTTCAGGTCCAATATCGGGGAGTCGAGGGCATCGTGGCCAAGTAAATTCCGACTCTGGAACAGCGGCCGACATTTCACTAAGGGTCTTCCGCTCCACAGTTTGCTGTCATTCGGAAGCTCCTCATGGGATGGTAATTTACCTCAGGCTTTGCTGGGACTCTCTCCTATCGTTTCTTGCTCAGCTTCATTTCAGCTGTAAGGGAGGCGACGGGTACAGCTTAAATTCAGCTTTACAGCTTTACAATTAGCAGGCTTATTCTAGAAAATAATCAATAACTGCTCACTTATTTGGAAATACAAACTTTACATCTCTTAGATCCTTAGATTAGTCAATGCACAATGGTATTGTCGCAATCATAGAATCAATAGTCCGCTGGTTTGTACCAGGTACGCATTTCTTTGGGTGGGTGGCAATTCGTTTCTCTTTCACGGCTCTGTAGTAGTTGACCGCTGCATCCACGTAGTCATCCGCAAGCCCATCGGCAAGTCTCTTGAAGATAGAGGCAGTTGTATCATTCGAATGATTAACAATGTAGCTGTGGAGTTGCTCGTCAACAGCTAAACCCTTGGAGACATTGAAATTGAACACTCCAATTAGGCGGCTAGCGTCCAGCTCCAAAGACTTCTCGTTGTACCCTGCAAACTTGCTGTTGCCACAATTCGCACAACTGTAGTAGATGGTGGTTAGGTACCGGTGCCCATTTACCCCATACAAAATCTTGGGAGCGGCAACCCAATCAAAAGATGGGTTTGGAGCAATGCCATCATTCCGCTCGCAATTTGGGCAGGTCGGTGCAAAGTCTTTCATCAAAATGTGAGGTACGTAACACGCAACTTCACGTACGTAGTAGCCACTAGCAAATGCCTTGGATTCGCCACAGTTGAGAGACATGTTTCTGGCACCGGCAGGTGCAAGTCTAGTCCAATCTTTGCCTCGAAAGTAGTTGGGACCACGCGCCGCAACATCGCCCTGCACCTTGCTTATCCAATCCGCCTGCGCCTGACCAAACTTGGGTTTCTTCCCTTTCTGCCGCCCGCGTTGGGCAAGCAGCATTGACATCTTGCTGGGCAATGACAAGCAACAAGCAAAACAATGAAATGGTAATGGACGATGGAGTGCTTTTTGACAAACTATTACCGCTCCAGCAACATACCTGCGATTCTAGCTAGCTACTACTATCGGTTCTTGTCACCGACCAACTACTAGACCTCTAAAAAAATGATAGATTACTCTCAACGGTTATCGTGGATGCAAACAAATCATCGTCGGGCATGCTGGGGATTAGGGATGATGAGTTCCGAAAAGCCGAAATGCGTTTTCCTATTAAGACTTTCAAAACCGTCAGATAACACTACAGTAGAAATAATACTGAGAGCACTTGCGTCACCAATGTCATTGGAATGGCGCTTTGACATGGGTCATCCTAAAAGATTTCGGGTGAAGACAATGATTTGTGTGCCGATTGTGACGTATGTTTTCTTTTCTCTCATCCCCCCCTCTTTTTCTTTTTTTTCCTTCCTACGCAAAAGTTAGAGTTACACTTACCATCAGATCACACCATCCACCCTTTGAAACAAACCTGCTTGTTCCAGTTCCCAGGTTTTGTCCGTCACACACCTTCACCATGATGTCGCGCTTGGTTCTGCAGGTTCGTCCCGGCAGTGTTGCCATCCATCGCTGGTGTCTCCCCTCAAATCGCCCATCCAAGTTGCCTCTAGTACTGTTTTCTCGAAGTTTCTCCCAACAGCGCAGCAAAGTTCCTGCTTCCCAAGTTCCCAAATTATGGGCCCAAGCTCAGGCCGTCTGCTTTGATGTGGACTGCACCATTACCAAGCAAGACGCTCTCGATGACTTGGCCAACTTTTTAGGAAAGGGCCAGCAAGTGCAAGACCTTACAAATGCCGCCATGAATGGAGACATGGATCTCGCCGAAGCCCTCCAAAAGCGCCTCGACATTATGGAACCCACCGTCGACAAATTGACGGCCTACGTGCAGTCCAATCCAGCAGCACCCCGATTGGTTCCGGGCATTCAATCTCTCATTCAAGAACTGCAGGCTCGAAATGTGGATGTCTTTTTGATCAGTGGTGGATTCCGAGAGCTCATTCTCCCCGTGGCGGATCTACTCAAGATTCCCCGTGATCACATTTATGCCAATCGGTTCGTCTACATGTCCGACGATGCTCGATTGGATGGTACTGGCACCACAGAGTCCGTCTCGCAACTCATTCGCGTTACTGGCTTTGATCCTTCCCAAGTCACCAGTCGAGAGGGTGGCAAACCAGAAGCCATTCGACAAATCCGAAGCAAAAAGCCCTTGCAAACCGTCGTCATGATTGGAGATGGTATTACCGATCTGGAAGCAGCCGAGGAAACGGGAGGTGCCGACTTGTTTATCGGTTACGGTGGCGTCGTAGCACGGCCACGAGTGCAGGAAAATGCCGACTGGTGGATTACAGATTATCAAGAGATATTGGATGCCCTGCCACGCTTCAAAGTCGCCATGGTGGGAAGTGGAGCCTTTGCTTCGGCGGTACTTCAAATGATTAGTCAAAATGCACGCGACAAGGCAATCTTTCAAGACATTGTCGACGTGTATGTCTACGAAGAAGACTACCACGGGGCCAAATTAACCTCAGCCATCAATCAGCAACACGAGAATCCCAAATACTTGCCAGGTGTGCATTTTGGAGACAATGTCGTGGCCAATCCGGACTTGGAAAGTACTGTCCAGGATGCGGACTTGATCATCTTTTGTGCTCCCCATCAGTTCATGCACTCTCTTTGCAAACAGATACAACTGATTGGCGTCAAACCCACCGCCAAAGCCATTTCACTGACAAAGGGAATCCACATCAGTCCGGAGCAAGGTCCACAGCTCATGTCCAGCATGATTCATAGAATGCTCAACATTGAGTGCAGTGTCTTGATGGGGGCCAACTTGGCAGGTGAAATTGGCCCCAACGGTCTTTGCGAAGCAACCATTGGCTCCCGTGTCCGGGAGCAAGGACACGTCTTTCAGGAATTGTTCGATACCGACTACTTTCATGTCTCTGTCATTCCAGATATTGAAGGGGCCGAGATGGCAGGAGCACTCAAAAATGTAGTGGCGCTGGCGGCGGGATTTGCAGACGGGTGTGATCTGGGACAGAATGCCAAAGCCGTGGTCCTTCGACAGGGTTTGAGCGAAATGAGACAATTTGCGAAGGCCATGTATCCCAACACTGTGCGGGACGAAACATTCTTTGAATCTTGTGGGGTAGCAGATCTTATTGCGACTTGCTATGGGGGCAGAAACCATCGTGTCGCGCAAGAGTTTGCCAAGCAAAGGGGCAGAACGAGCTTTTCTCAACTGGAAACCGATCTACTGAACGGCCAGAAGCTGCAGGGAGTGCTTACCAGCGAGGAGGTCCAATCTGTTTTGAGCAGCAAGGGGTGGCAAAACCAATATCCCCTCTTCTCGACAGTTAATGCTATTGTCCGGGGTCGTCTGGAACCAAAGGACATTAGTAGATTTCGAGAGCTTCCGGGTTTGTCATTGGAGTCGGGTGGAGAGGAGCCTTCATTGCTAGAAAAGACTATTGGGTTCTAATCCATTGGAACGATTGTACGTCCCGGTGTACGTGCGGTGCCTTGCAGAAATACATGCCGCGGCAAGTCACCCTGATCCCACGGAAGCTAGCCCTGAAATCCGCCTCTTTCTTTGCCTACCATAAGCCTGGCCCCTCGCTGACGTCCGTAGATAACTTCCCTACTCTAACAGGCACCTTTGATGAGTTGCCGAGGTCAAGGGAAAACTAAAAGAAAATTTGATTGCCATATCAAACTCGATTGATCGCCCTTTCAGCGAATTGACCCCGGAGCTGATCCGTACCATACATCGTATGGTACTGGTATCTTCAAACATAGAGTGACTTGGGGGGTGCAAAAAGCAGGGCAGAGGATCTGGATTTGAGGAGGAATCCGCAAAAGTGACTGTACCGGTACTGGCCAGACTAACATGAAAGTCTGGAAGACAGTTCTAGACGGGTAGTTCAGGTAATTTAAGGGTTAAAATTATTATTTTCCTTACATTTTTGGATACAAAAATATATTTACCAAAACTACCTGATACTACAGATCCCAGAACAACTGACCAAAAACCCTCGTTTCACAAAAAAACTTACTTGTTCTGTGTAGACGCAGTACAAAAGCCTACGAGGATTCTACCAGCTTTTTTTTAGCTCTGTCATTCGTGCGTCTTCGCTACCATACATGTGGCATATTCTCGATTTTTGGGTTGTCTGTTCAATGTTCTTACTTCTAGCTAGTAGTTGTACATAAAAGCTACGAGAACAAGAAAAAAACTCAAACTTCTAAAGGGCGAAAAAAGTGGTTCTTGGGTTTTTGGTCAGTTGTTCTGGGATCTGTAGTACTGTATCCAAAGTTGTCTTCCTGGTGATCTTGCGTACCAGTCGTGGATCCACACCACAAAATATTAATATTACTGTATTATTCCAAGGTTCGCTGTTGGAGTTCCGGATGACTTGGATGAGGTCCTAAAACACAATCCGGAATACCCTCGTCCATCCTTCCATGGGCGGTAACCAATGATGATGGTGTTGCCAATCAGACCAACCAAACTTCAGTGTATTCTCGTGTACCGACTAGCAGAGGAGGGAAACCATGGCGAAAGAGAGTTGCTTCTTTTGGCCGGTATCCACACCCACAACAACGATGATTTGACCAAGATTAGCGCGAGAGTGATTCGCAACGGGCCGCCAAACATCCCAGGCAACCAAGAAGTAGTGGGAGGCATCAAAACCCGACGGTCGGGACTGTATCAGTTTGTGTACTGCGCTGATTCTGATGCCATCTGTAAGAAGCCGTGCTTTGTGTGTGACCTGAAGACACCCTTGCTAATAATCGTGTTTTTGATTGTTGTACCTTTCGTAGGCTTTTGCGTGGTGACAGGTCTTGGATATCACGATCGCGTGGCGATGATGTGTGTGGGAGAAATTTCAAGGCAATTCCATCAAACATGTGGGGGACTAGCTGTGGATGTCGCGGCAGCGAATTCGTTGAGTGGGGCCTGCAAGACCCCATTCGAATCTCTCTTTGCAAAATTTGAAGACTCACGTCGAATTGTGAACAAGAGCACGAGGGCAGCTCATAAAGGAGGTCATGAACCTGGAAAAGGTGAACAGAATGACGAGTTGACACAGTGGTTGTCAGCGTTAAAGAAGAAGAAGAAAGCTGAAGGAAAGCCGAAGCGCGTTCGATTTGCGCCTCCGATTGTCGGTAATGATTATTCCAAAGAAGCGCAATCAAGGCCATCGGGCGGGTGCTTCGAGAATGTGTCTGCAGGAGAGATTTTCATCTCAGCACTTCTCCTGGGGCAGCCAGGACTGGCATTGCCTTCTAATGCCATTACCGCCAGGAATGCTGTGAGAAGCCGTGGTGGTGATGGGTCCAACGTTGAATCAAAAGCAAACATTGTACCGCCATTGGATAGTCCAGAAAATGATAGCAACAACAACGCTGTTGGATATTCAACCCTCCATTGTTCTGGAGAAGAAGTGGAGCCCACCCTTGTTCTGGGGGAAATGGAAACTCGGTCCTTTGGATCGAGCAGCAGCAACGGCGGCTTTGTTGATTTTGTGCCTTTTGAAAGCTTCCCCACCCTCTTCCCTTATGATGTGCCAACTGGTATGACCTTTTGCGGATGCAGTCCGACTACTTCAGGGGCGAGCACAATCAAGAGTGAGGCCCAGGAAACGGATCCCGATAGCATCTGTGAGTCGGCTCAACAGCCTGAGGAACCTCGCCAATCGGTCTCCGCCGAACCGAGCTTCCTCCTAAAAATGACGGCGCGACTGCTCGCAACAGAGAATCAACTGAGAGAGGGAGCATGTGAAAACTGGGAGGGAGAATGCGATGGACTTGATAGTTACGGAAACGATACTGGGTTGTCCTCGCGCAAGGGCGCTTTGCCTAAACCCACACAACACGGGAGCGAGGTACGATTGGTTGGGTACAGCATGGAGGATGTAGTCAAGCAGCTTCAAGAGCTGGAACGAGAGAATGAAGAACAAGGTGACTTCGCGAATGACTGGAAATGCCTCCAACCACCGCGAAAGCGACATGACAAGAAACCAACCCCCCCACAAATGAGGCAACCTTTTGCCATTCCAGACTTCATCACTATCTAGTCCCTAGTGCGTAGGATTTGTTTGTAAATGTATTTCGATGTACTGTAAATTTCTCATTAGCTCACACTAGAAAAACAATCTACTGGATCCTTCAATGTCTAGTTTTTCAAATAGTCGTCTCCTGGTAGGAGTGCGCTGTTCACAACATGATCTCCTGAACATACGCCCTGCTCCTCCATTCCTGGAGTGGCTTTCCTTGGCATCAGCTGGGCTCTAGTACTACTGAGGGGCACAAGGACAGTCACAACCACAAAGAGAATCCGAACAGTCAAAATCCAGTTTGCCAATGCTACACAGCTCCCAAGGGATGGTCCCTGTGATGGATGTTCCCTTCAGATTCAACCTTGTCAGAGTTGCATTCAATTGACCAAGTTCTGAAGGTAAGGGTCCAAAGATACCTTCATTGTCCTGTATTTGAAAGCTTTTTAGCCTCGTCAACTTTCCAAGCTCACTCGGTACTGTGCCTGACAAATTGTTGCTCTGTAGATTCAGCATCTCTAAGCGGGTAACCCCTCCTAGTTCGGATGGTACAGTTCCTGTGAACTGGTTGTCATTTAGCCCCAGGAAAAAGAGGTGTGTGCACCGGTTGAACGAAGATGGAATTGTCCCCGTCAAACCAATTCGAAATAACTTGACATCAGTCAAACTGGGCATGCCAAAGCAAATGTCATCTGGGAGAGTTCCTGTGAACAAGTTGTCCATCAGTCTGAGTTCTCTGAGCTTATGGAGCTTGAAGAATTCGTTCGGCAACGTCCCTGTGAGTTCATTATTGTTGACGGAGAAAACTTCCAAATTGTCCGAAAGTAAACCCAGTTCGGTTGGAATAACACCCCTCAGGCGGCTGCCGCGCGAACTCCAACTTGACAATCGCGACATCATGCCTATCTCCGTGGGCAATGTGCCCATCAATGAGTTGCGAGCAGAATTGAATCTGAAAAGTCCATGGAATAGCGAAAGCTCTGGTGGCAGCGATCCTGTCAGATTGTTCTGGGTCAAGTCCAGATCATAGAATGTACCATTCTGGCACAGATTGTGCTGATCCAGTTCCTGCTTTGATGGAACTGAGTACCAATCACACTCATGAGATGTGTAAGAAAGCCACTGTTCCAAGGTAACATTGTGTTCCAGATTTTCTAGTAGTGGATCAGGCCTTCTGGTGGGGGCAGATGAGGAGACTGTTGAATTCCCACCAGCACCATTTGGTTGTCCACTCCCTTCTTCCGCAGCTCCACCAGCAGCAGTACCAGAGACCCTGGCGCTGTCAGGTGCAATGGTAACACCTCCAATGCCCCATACAACCAATTCAGTTTCACCTCCCTGATTCTTCCATGTCTCTCCTCCAGTTGCATAGTAGAATGTGGCGGCAGCAAATCGTTGCAGGAGCCTGTCACGTGAATAGTTTCCAAGCCATGGGTCATTCTGTACCCACTTGTACGCTTTGGCCTGTGGAGATTCCATGGCAGTGTCTCGTTCCAATACATACAAAGTAGTCGCTGGCAAGTCAAGATCCAAATTCAGCACCAAACTTCCATCATCGTTCGTGTCGTTCGCTGCCGTCGTGGTGATCAGTGTTTCGTTGACTGGCGGGGCAACGGTGGCGACCTCTGTGTTGCTGTTGCTGTTTTCCGTGGTAAAGTAGACAATCAAACCAGACCCTAGCAGCGCTGTGACAATCAGGCCGATGATGAAGAGGATCGGGGTACAAGCGAGTTGATCACTTCGTTTCCCCCACTGAGCATCATCGTCGTCACCACCGCGCCGATTGGACGGATAGAGGTCGTTCAAATCCACCGGTTCGGCTTCTTCTAGACACTCTGTGTTGCACACTGGTGTGGCTTCGACGAGTCCAACGTGGCTGCCATCTTGGGAACCGGGAGGAGGACTGGGGACACTTGATTGCGCTCGGCTGTTGCTTGTGCGGAGTCCATCCTGTGGACGTGGAGACGGCCCATTGCGATGGGCGCGGATAGAATTGGCGGCATAGAGGAGGGAATGAAGAGGGGCCTGGTCTGGCGATTCCGCATAGGCTCCTGGTACGGAAGCCCGAATTCGATGTTGTTGCTGTTGTGGTAGGGCCTCGACATGGACGTCAATGCCGTGCTGCGCAGCATGATCGCCAAGAGGATTATAGTGCGGGTCGGATGTGTTCTTCTTAGAACCAGTGCCTTTAGAACCAGAGCCCTTGGAACCAATAGCCGCGGTGGTAAGGCTTGCCGCGGGAGTCTTGTTGTCGATCGCCGCTCCTCCGTCCTTCTTCACCGCGAGTACCGGTACTTGACCTTTGGCAAGAGCGTCGTCTAAGGCAAGCATGTCCTCTTTGTATTGAAGGTCCTCGTTGGATTGAGGGCGCTCGTTGGATTGACGGTACTGCGCTGGAAGTGGCGTCTTCTCCTCGTCGGACTTCTCGTCCTCCTTGACCTCGCCGACACCGACGACATGCTGCTTCTTGGTCTCTTCCTCCCCTTCCAACAAAGCGTCTTTCGTTGCCGATTCCTTGGGTTTGATCTCGGTTGTCATCGTTCGTTCAGCTTGCTTGGATTCCAGCACAGTATGATAATCCTTTTACTGATGGAGGGTACTAGCTAGCTCAAAAACTTGTTCACGAGGCAGCTGTGTTTTGGACAACAAGCAACGCCGCCTGAGATGAATTATTACAGCGGAATTCACGCCAAGAGCTAAATGACGCCGAGCGGCCACCTGTTGAGTGATGCATGGACCGGCAGGTCCGATGCATGAAGACTGCTTACACTGTACGCTGCGTGCTCGCTTCTCGAGAACTCCTTGGTGGTCAAATAAAAAGGCCTTGAACAGCTCCTGAACCATGAATACAATCAAAGAAGAAGACTGAATGACCGTATTCATTAAGAATCGTAAAAAGGATTTTAATAAATCGGCATCCAAGGAGCCCGTGGGATTTATTTGCTCGTGAGAACGTGAGAACAAACTGGTCTACGTACTCAAAGTACAGTGTACAGGAGCTGTACAGGTCGGAATAGAAATTATGAACGATTGATTTTATTAAATGAATGAATTGCAGAGTGTCAGCTGTCAGAGTATAATCTCCAAGGTCCAAGGAGTACTATTAATTAATACTCCGGAGTAGTACTCAAGGGTAAAGTACCGGTACTTGCAAACTATGACTGGGATTTAAAGGACAAATAAATCTACAGCACAAGCTTCGGAGAACTTGCAAACTGTGACTGAGATTGGACCATACACAACAACGAGTCGGAGGCTGACGTGTCACCAGCGCATGTGACCAAACATTTTTTAAAGTATTAGCGTCGTCTACAGTAGGGTGAGGGATACTGTAGAGAGACTCTTCACGGCAGTACTAGTACCATACCACTACTAGGTGGACCACATGTCTACATCTATCTTCCTGCGTGCATCTCTCTGGCTCTACCACTCAGCTAGCAGCCAGCTGATAGGCTTCAGGGAGAGCAGAGAATGCCCTACAGCTGCTCTCTAGCGCTAGCTGGCTAGACAGCTCCCCTTTCCTGAGCACTTGCTTTTTCTAGTTCTTACAGAATTTCTCAAGCTTGAGGTAGTAGATATTGGAGCGGGTTTTCCAAGCAACAGGCAGTACAAGCAAGGAAGGTTCCAACTTGACATCTGTTGTAAAGGTTGATGACGAACCCCACAGTTGTACGAATTATGTATTATCGTAAAGGTCATCCAGCGTCGCCAAGCCAGGTCCATCCTGCAGCTTTAAAGTATGCATGGTCCCTTGTGCAGCCAACGACACGAGTTTTTATGGCAAGACGCGCATGATAGGAACAAGGGGGCAATACCCCCTCTACATCATGAACATGGCACTAGTAGTTGTGCTCCAACGGTGTCATCAGCTTTGTGCCGCCTACTCCCAAGACTTCGGAAGGATGTCGCTGATCCGTCTTCGGGCACAATAAATGGCCTTGAGTGGGGGCATGATTTGGGCCTACTAGTATGCTGTTAACCCAGGCAAATCCTGAAGGATATCTCATGGAGGTTGGGTTTGGAGTTGTGCTTGCAATATTTCTCGGCAGTCTCCCTGCAAGTTGGACAGTGGTGGCAAGCCAGAAGAAGTCAAGGCTGGAGTGGAAAACATCTCAATGGAATTCTGTTTTCTGCAGTGCCCCGAGCAGCTATTATTTGAAACACCCACTTTTGAATTAACTTTATTGCCCTCTTCATCAACTCTCTGGCAGTGTCGACCCTTCGCCGTTAGGCTATCGTACCGTATGGCGTATCGATACCGTGTGGGTCACAGGTCACCAGTACCGGTAATACGGGACTTGAAGAAGTGTGAAAGACTCTTAAATCATATTTTTCCGTGAAATGACTTCAGTCAATGTTGTATAAATACAACTAGGTAGTTGCGTGACCTTAATGACTATTCTGCTCTGGGAAGGTCATCGAAAAAGGTCGAAAGTTCCGATCCTCCAGTATTTAGTATGTTAGTTGTCCAGCAGTCTACAGAACATACATCTTCTGTTGACTGGGTTGGGTGCTTTGTTATCGATTATCAAACACAGGATCAGAAGCAGGAGCTGTGTGGAGTGTGGAGGCGCAGAGAGAGTCATAAAGCAATCCACAGCAACCAAGAAGAGAGAGAGATTTGGTCGAGCGCCCATTCTCTCTGGTAGCTCGACCATGATGCGAAAGTCTCAGTTGGCAGTCCAGAATCAGCATACTGGTGATGGCAATACATCATGTAGCAGCCATGATGGTGAAGAAGGCGGCAATATGGCTGCTCTATCTTCCCTTCAGTCGATGGATGTGATTGTCAGTGTCTTGAGAGGCGAGGGCTTGGCCCCCAAAGATAAGAATTGGAAAGGCGAAGCCACGTCCTCGGATCCCTACGTCATTGTCAAGCTCTTGTCTACCACCAACACTGCCAAGACACAACAAGTAGTCCTGGGCAAAACAGAGACTGTCTCTCAATCGCTGAATCCTGTATGGGACGAGGACGACGAGGAGGAGCCAATGGAGGTCACCATGTCCAGTGTCAATGCGGAAAGTCAATACGCACTGCAATTCACCGTTATGGATGAGGACGACATGACCAAGGATGATCTCATGGGGATTGTCACGGTGCCCATCAGTACCACAGAGCCTGTTCACACCACGGACTGGTACACTGTACCACCCGATTCGGCCAAGAATGCCACGGGAAAACTCAAGATTGCTCTGCAAACCAAACTGCACTATGACGGTGGACAGATCGTTGTCGCAACCGACGAATCCCCTGCTCAACAACCACAACAGCAACAACCACAAGGCTCCTCTTCATCATCACAAACACCAGAGGAAACTGTGCTTGCACCACAGTCACAACAAACGCCACAAGACAACAACAATAATGCTGATGGAGGAGTAGAATACTTGGAACTCGATCTGACAGTCATTCAAGGTCAAGGCTTGGCGGCCAAAGATCGAGACTGGAAAGGAAAACGAACCACATCCGACCCATACATCGAGGTCACCTTATTACCTGATGGTGTTGCAGGAGGTCCCAACGAGTTGTCTTTGGGGTTGACACAAACCATACACAAGACCCTTTGTCCCGTCTGGCAGGATCCCTTTTACACACGTGTCCCACTCTCCACACTGAAGGCCCATGCACAATTGCGATTGACCATTAAAGATTGGGACGAAATCACAGAAGACGATTGCATGGGCATTGTACACATTCCTCTGATGACGACTACTGCCAATGCCAATAGTGTCAAGTGGTATGACGTCCCGGCCACATCGGCCAAGAATGCCACTGGAAAGATTCAGTGTGCGCTCGCCACCACCAGGCGACGAATCGTGGAATCACCTCGACGGGTGTGCAGCGATGCCTGGACAAGAGCAGAGCAAGAATCCGTTAGCGCCAATGCCAACAATAGCACTGCACCACCATCACCGACAATCAACGACAGCACGGCCCGTAAGGATATAATTGATTCCATGAACTTGACCGTGACGGTACTTGCAGGTGCAGGCCTCGCGGCCAAGGATCGGAATATAATTGGCAAACGAACAACGTCAGATCCGTATGTGCATGTCAAGCTCTTGACCGTTCCACCCAATACGAATGACCCCAATAATGTCAAGGAAATCAACATGGGCAAAACTCAGACAGTCCCTCAGTCACTGGCGCCCGTTTGGAACGAGCGCTTTGAAACGACACTGCAGGGCAATGACCTGATACGAGCCAATGAAGCTCGCTTGCAACTGACAGTCTATGACCGCGACATCACCACCAAGGACGATTGCATGGGAGTCGTGACCATTCCCGTGCTATTGGTGAATACACCCACCGCCAACGCGCCTCGATGGTATGGGATTCCCTCTCATTCGGCCAAGAATGCTGCGGGAAGGTTGCAAATTCAACTGGATACCACGCTGGTGTACGCATCGGATCAACTGCGTCGTGCTGTTGCACCACCTCCACCGCGACCCAAACCCAACATGGTTCGGCTGGGGTCGGCCCGCAAATTGAAATTGACGGCCACGGCTCGATCCCGGGATACCTCGGCCTTTTGCACCCCGAGAAGAACGAGACCCAAGCAAGGCAAGCTCAAGTCGTTTGCCGGAGTGGCGCCACTCGCGTTTGGGGATTCCACCCATAATAAATCAACGACGGGTGGGAAGATCCGCAAAAAGTCGTCACCATCGGCCAAAGACAAGGGCATCACCAAGTCCAAGAACGATGTTGTCAAGAGTAAAGGCAAGAAGGAAACTCGACGAACTGAATCCTCGTCACCAGCGACGGATCGAAACGCTACCTCGCCCGCTGGATCACCCGATACTCCAACCGCCAGCCAAAACATGGCAGATGAGTTCTTGTCTCTCAGGTCTGGAACGGAAGCTCCCGGCGGTGGCAGCAAGGTTGCGCAGGATAGCATGGCCATAGGTCGAAGCTCTTCCAGGTCTAGGTTTTCCCAGCAAAAGGCTCGGTCCAAGGATACATCGGCGTTTTGCACGCCTCGACGAATCAAACCAAAAGCAAAAGTCTCCGGTGCTGCTGCCGCCTCCTCGGCCAAGGCCGCTGCACTGCCCAAGTTCAAGTCCATTGCTGTGCCAATGATGACACCAGAGGCCGACAACGACACCAATGGCAAGAAGGCCGGATCTCTTCCGACGACGCCGGCAGCAGAACCAGCAAATGTGGTTTCCGTCGCTGAGAACAGCACTGCTGAGTCCAGCGATTGTTCTTGGACTAAGCCTCGTCGAAGGCAGCCCTCGATTCTTTGGAAGTGCACGTGTGGTTCCGAATCCGAAAAGAGCAGCCCCTGTTGTTCGGCATGCGGTGCAAATCAGTTCTGGACTTGTGCTGGCTGTAGCTTTAGGGGCAACATTTGCGTCTACCAATTTTGCGGAATGTGTGGGAAAAAGCGAAACGAAAAGTCCGCACCAACGAGCAACCCTCTCGGAAGCCACGCGAACTCCCAATCAGTCCCACTGCGAGCATACTAACGAAGCAGGGGGCAAGGAGATAGCCTATATGGTCCCTCCAGCGTACCGTATGTTCATATCTGTAATTCTAAAAAGCGAATGAGCTACTAGTGAAACAAACAACCGACGAAACGGTCGACTTGGTCAGTCAGCGAGAAAAACAGGGCCAAATCATCCAGTTGGCGAGATCTTTCGATGTTTTTTGCACCAGCGCCTGTGGGCGGGCCAATGGGCTTTCTGGCACACCTTGCTGCAGTAGAAGACCTGTTCGCACGCAGTACAATCCATGGTGCCCGCACTGCGGCAGCTGCTATTGCCACATTCATGGTAATGTTTCACCAAAGCCCGCGCTTTGATTCTCCATTGAGAGGCTTCATCCTTGAAGACCGAGAGCCCGTCCCGTTCGGCTTTTTCGCCCAGAGTGTAGAAGCGTTTTGCCTCGCCCATGTGACGGGGACCACGGTGTCCATGAAGGAGCGCTAGGCGATAGCAAGCTTCAGGCAGCTTCCTTGCATCGGGCTCTGCACATTTGACGAAGCGTTGGAGGAGAGCACTCGACTTTCCATCCTTTTGTGTACTCAAGTCCAACAATATCGCTTGGTGAAACAATGTGTGCTCTGGGTCTTCACAGCCAAGTGTTTCGGCCTTTTTGAAGGCTTGCAGCGCCCTCGACGCCTGCATTTGCATGGCCAGGATGCAGCCCTCTATTGCGGGAAAGTAGGGGTCGTTTGGAAGAAGAAGCTGCGCAAGTGAAAGTCGCTGTAGCCCTTTGTGGTGCTCGCCCCGCACGAAGAGAATGTTGGCGTGGACAAACAGAGCTTCGGCACGATGTTGGTTCAGTTGCGTAGCATCTGTAGATAACCTGTTGAACGCCTCCATTGCGCCCTGCATCTTGGAAGACTGCCAGCGTAACACTAAGGAGTTCTTTCGGTAAACATCAGCATATGCGGATGCTGCGGCCTTAATGTCGCCATTCTCGAAGGCTTCGTGACCAATGACGCAGCAAATAGCACTTTCCAGAAGTCCCATTGCAGTCTTTGAATCTGGGAATTGATCGACCAAGGCTAGCAAATTGTCGACCGAGAATTCAAAGTTGTCGTCGAGACCATCAATTCGACGAGCATCCTCGAAAAATTCTTCGGCGGAGTTCTGATGAATCCTACGCTTCATGGACCTTTTGAGGCGCCGAAGGAAAGTGTTCCGCTCTTCTTCATTTCGAAAGTGCTTGTTTATGGTGGCTCTATCAAGAGGAGTCGTCATGTTGGCATGAACCACAACCCAAGCTTTGGCTTGCTACTAACTCCCTCCAGCTAATTATGGGTAGGCAAGATACATTGTGTAGCCACCGTGGAAAATCCATCCAGTTGGTCATCGAAAATTTCGAAGCCCGTAGAAAAGTACCGCGACAGTGCCATTCCCACTCGTCTATAAGTTCTTCCATGCCTCTGGGAAGATATCATCTGGTATCATCAATGCATGTCTGAAAGCATTGGGTAAGAACATATCAGAAGAGTATGCAAGGTCCACAAACTTGAAAGCTTCTCTTGGCGCATCTGTCAGCTTCTCACTCTTGTTGTCGTTTATCTTGGCCACCGCAGTGTAGCGCATTTGTCCATTGATCAATCGGAACCTCATTATTTCACAGGTGAACCATTCTGCTGTATGGTGATCAGTCACTTCCACTTTGCCAGTCTGGTGAAAGAGACTGAAGTCAATCATTTTGTAGAACTTGATGTTGCAAAGCAAATTGACATTCCATGGGTATGGATTTTCCATTTGTTCAAATTCAGTAAGCAGCCTATCAGGGGAACTATCTAATTGATGGGCTGACACATAGTCCTTGGCTTGTGGGTATGCCTCCCATGTTTTCACATGTTCTTGCCAAGCCGATTCCCACTCATCACCTTTTTGCGTTGAATAGAAATGGGTCAGATGACTCAAAACATCAAATCGCCGAGAGACACGACAATATGCAAACGAAAGACCCTTGACTCACCATAATCAAGGAAAACTTCTTCCCCTGGGAGCCGAGAGAGAGTTCAGCATTAGCTTGATCGTGCCTTGGTAGCGCATGGCGCCGTGTGCTGCAGCTTCCCACACTTACCTGGCTGAATATCCCGCAGAGCTACCAGCTCCAATGCAAGGCTGGTTTTCTTCTTCCTAGCAAAGTGCTCAATTGGCATTTCCAGCAGCTCAGGCTTGTGGTTTCCCTTGGCTGGATCAGCCCAGCGCAATTTGACGTTAGCACGGGTCTGGTTGTGGTTAATCAGACTGGTCTGAGGCCCGTAGGGACATAGTAGAAGCGATGAACGCCCATGCCCAAAGCAGTAATTCAACAAAAGCTGCTCCCCATATTTGACATTTGCCGTTTGCAACGTGAAGATGTCTTCAAACTCAAGCATGTCAAACATATGGCTGTCTTCAACATGTACGAGAGGCAATGGTGCCACCACAGAATCTTTTGCAAGATGTCTTGTTGCAAAGGCCCCTCTTCCAGCCTGACGGATTGTTGACTCGCCTTCCATCAGGTTGTCAGCACATGTTCCAAATTGATGGAACCATTCATCTGTGCGCATGCTTTCCTTAATGCGTATCTCTTTCAGCGTCATTTGCTGATGTAACATGTACCATTCCTCATCTGTCTTTTGAAAGGCCGCAAAGGTTGTTGACTCGTTGAATTCATTTCTCTCCACAAAGCTGACCCACAGCTCCCCCAATATTTCCCCTGGTATCTTGCGATGCTTCTTTTGTATTTCAAAGAATCGTTCGAATACCTTGTCGGCCTTACGTAGATCCCCAATCTGTGGTATGGGTCCAAAATTTTTCTTGCGATCTTCGAACCTGTGGTGTAATAAGGAAACACACACGAGTTAGAGCCTTGACGCCTGACGAAACAGTTCCATGACAGGTTGTGTGTGTATGTACCACTGTCAGGCCGGCAGGAAAGAACAGAAAAGTGAAAAAAGGACCATGGTGTAAGTTGGGTGCAATACAGCAAGTATACCAATGGCCACAGTAGCACTTCTAACCACTCACAGTTTCACCATAATGCATAAAGAGCTCCTCTCCCTTTTGAATATCTTCACAAGCGAGAAACCTCCTATCATGGTAGGTTGAGAAGGCCCCTGCCCCTGGATCCTTGGATCGATGTAACCCATGTGGGTCACTGTTTCTTGGATGTAACTCATTGACATTGACAATATCTGCAAAGGCGTTTGGAGCTGACCCCTGTAGGATAGGAACATTTGGAAAATGTCCCGGGATTGTATGAGGTTTTGTGGATGTGTAAATAACGTATCATCGACTGAGTGGTAGACTTACAATCCCTGGACTGAAGACCATGACGTGAATGTAGCCAAGATGGTCCATATGCTGGAAATGCTGTCCAGTTGCAACAAAAAATGAATGGAGGTCCAACCAATTATTTCATCAGTCCTGTATCTGCTATTGCAACAACAACAAAATTACTATATAGATCCACACACTCACCGCATTCCAAATGTAATCGTCAAACAACAGAAAATACCGACTCCCCAGTGCATATTGATGGTATGTGATATCGACAATGGGTATCACAATGTCTCCCGTTGGCTGCAATTCTTGGCCTTTCCGAAAATCTTTTCCCGCAAACATTCCCAGACCAGCGCCAGGGATACTGCTGGGAGCCAACCAGACACCACATTCTTGTACTGGTAGGCCATCCGATGTTTCTGTGTTCGTCTCTTTTTCTCCTTCCTCCAAACCACTCACGACGGCAAGGTTGGCGGATGCAGCTAGTATAGATAGTAGGGCCAGTACAAGGCGTTGGAATGGAAGGATCATGGATCTTTGTCGCTGCACATGCTTCGGTCTCCACACAGATCGATCTTCCATCGGCACAGCAGTCATCAGCTCCTTCGTTTCCTCCATCTGTCTACTACTGTAGCTAGCTATGCAAACAGGGTTCCTTTTCCCATGCAGCTCAGGTATGGCTTTGTGGTTTTCTTCTGGGAAGTAAAAAGTTGTCATGAGCCCGAAAGATGACGAGGTCATTCGGGAATTCAACTTTAAGAGGGAAAGAAGAAAAACCTCCGATGCAGCCAGCGGTTGTTCAACCAACTTTGCTGGCTGCAACTCATGAGAATCGAATGATTCGATTCTCAATCTTCAAATCTTCACAGCTCCCCTCATCATCTCTTCCAAAACTTTTGTGCCACAGGTCCAGTATTTGGTACATGCAGCAGAGTAGAACTTGAGGACCTGCCATATGTACCGGTAGCAAGCTAGACAGGTTCATCCATAGAAAACAGGGAGAAAGAGAAAGAGAGAAGTAGGAAAACATGAGATCCGGTTTTGCCATGGCAGGCTCTGTGCGGTTTGCGACCGCCTCCACAGCAACATTTCGTAAGAGTCACCCTAATAGATCTACATCGAGTGTGCTTCGATTGTCGTGGCACAACCATCGCAACCCCTCGCTCTCGTTGCGATTCCTCAGTTCTCCTCCGTCATCCTCCAGCTGGGGCAGTGACCAAACCAACAGCAACAGCCACAGCAACAAGACGCCCCGAAAATCAGGTTCCATTCCCTACAAGTTGCAGTTTTCCATCACCCCCACGCGCCAGGGATACAAGATTGACACACTGGTCAGCCATCAACTGCGACATTTTGGTGACAGCAGTAGCAGTAGCAGTAATAGTGAAGAAAAGGAGGAATCTTTGAAAAAACGCCGCGAACGTCTCAAACGCTTGACAGTGGTCTATCCGTACAGCAGCGAACAAGACATTCTACGCAAACAACGCAAACGCAAAGAAGCAGCTCGGAAACGCACCGTGGCCAATGTCAATCGAGCATTGCTCGGCAATGTCATTATTGCCGGATCCAAACTATTTGCCTGGTTGACTTCCCAAAGCAGTAGCATGATGTCGGAATTCATTCACAGCTGTGTCGATTGTGCCAATCAGTACTTGCTACTACAGGGACTACGAGATGCCAGCAATGTCGCCGATCGAAAACATCCCTACGGATATGGCAAGAGTGTCTACTTTTGGGCACTCGTGTCGGCACTGGGAACCTTTTTCATGGGCTGTGGTATCTCCATGAGTCATGCCTGGGGGGAATTGATGAATCCGTCGCTGCATGAAATTGGTCCCGAAGTTCTGGGAGTCTTGGCATTTAGTTTTGCCGTGGATGGATACGTCTTGTTCAAAACCATTCGGGAAGTACAAGATGAACGACCCAAAAATGGGACCTCCTTTTGGAGTCATGTCAAAGCCATGCGGGATCCGGCTACGTTGGCCATTCTATTGGAAGATGGAGCGGCCTGTTTTGGAGTCCTCTTGGCCATTGCCGGTACTACTTGTTCTCATGCCACGGGGAATCCCATTTACGATGGGCTCGCGGGATGTTCCATTTCGCTCTTGTTGGGATCCATGGGACTCGTATTAGCCAGTGTCAATTATCGATTCCTTCTTGGACAAGCCGTCGACAAGGACATTACCGACAATATTGAAAAGATTCTCAAGAGTCGAAAGAGTATCGACGCCGTCTCGTCGGTACAATCCCAATGGACCGGTCCGGATACATTTAGTTACAAGGCAGAAGTGGATTTTGACGGGACATTTCTCGCCGCCAAACTCATGCCCACGCACGAACGAGAGTTTTTAAACATTCGAGGAGAAAACATGAAAAAGGAACTACCCTTGGTCTTGAGTTGGTACGCCGAAGATGTCATTCGGACCGTCGAACAAGAAGTGCGCATCATTGAACATCAAGTACGCAAGCGGTATCCCGCGGCAGAGTACATTGAGTTGGAACCCATGTCCAAAGACAGCCACGAATTTGCCATTGACGGACAGTTTGAAAAGGACCTTCGAAGGGCCGAAATTGAGAATCTGGAAAAGCTGCGGGAACTCATCCCAGCGCTCGACAATATCGATGCCGAGAGCAGACCGTCGGGGGCACCCACAGCTCCAGACGATGTGGTAGGAAGCAGCAGTACTGGTAGTACTACAGAAAAGACAAAATAATAAAGTGGCATTCTCATTTTTGTTCATGCGAGCTCATTGTTTAGAAAGCCTGTTTGCTTATCAGCACAGCAAGGAGTAGAAAGATCTGTTGGTGGCAAGTAAACTAAGAACTAGAATAAATGTGGAAGCCAACTTCGGTTGGCATGAGTGAGAGTTATGAATCAATGAAATGAAACGTCGCCATAGCAGCACTTCAGATGGCACTTTTAAAATCATCAAGTCGCCAGGCCTAAAGAGTCGAGTCAATGCATTTTTCGAGTAAGTTGCCTGTCTAGCTAGCTAGTGCACGATTCTGGTTTGACGCCTTCGAATGCGCCCCATTCCCTCTTCACTCTCTTCCTTGGGTAGCGGTCCCACGTGGAATACTCTCATCATTTCATGATCTTCATGCTAGAAAATATCAGAAACATTGGCATGTACAAACAGAGGGTGAGTAAGGTACTGCTCTTGTTGATCTTTCACCTAGTACGCGGGTAAGATCACGAGCGAGACTCACCGACAAAATGTGGCAATGCCAGTTGTAGCGCCCAGGTTTGTCAAAGTAGACCCTGATGGTTGTCACTTGGCCGGGGAGGGCGGTGACAGTGTCTTTGGGGAAGTTTGTCACGTATTCTGGCATTGTACTGAGGTCGACTTCGTCTCCATAGGTGGGGTTCATGACAAGGTAGCCCTCTCCGATGCTTCCATCGTGTTGCAACAGAGGGTGATCCATGGTGTACGTTCCATCTCCTGCTGGGGATTCTCCCAAATGGATCTCTATTTCACCATCTTCATTCACATTTGAGTCATACGAAATCAACTGGCGGCGAATTACTTCAAAATGGACCAAGTGCAAGTGTACTGGGTGGGCATCGGCACTAACATTCCATATTTCCTGCAGGAAGAAATTCATCGTTTTGTGTGAGCGGCATGCTACCATTTTGGTGGGCGTGACACACAACTTTCTTCACTTACCCAGTCCTCCACATCATAAAGCCTTGGATTCTCAGTTGTCGGTGCATGCCAGGTCATGGCCCCCACCATTGGGCCAGAAATTCCAGCATTGCGGTATTCTGCCGTGTTAGGCCAGTAGATGGGCTCCCCACTGGCATCTGTGGCTGGATCCACGGTTCCCAAGAGTGGCTGCAAACGTCCAAACTGATCATGACCTTCAAACAGGGCAACGCGACGCATTCGGTTTGCCTCACGAGGATGGATTGGTACAGCAATGTTGTTGGGATCAAAGTTATCTGGGACGTTGTTATCGAATGGAAGATCAATGTCAAAGGCCATGATTTTATCAGTGAACTCGAAAGCTTGAGGACCAGGGATGTCACCTCCAAAAGGTTCATCCCCTCCCAGATTCTTCATGATGACGCGACCTTCCCAACCAGCAAAGTCGATAATAATATCGTAACGCGCGGACGGCTCCACGAGCAATCTGTCTACCTTGGTTGGCGAAGCGGCAAGGCCTTGGTCGCCTCCAATCACAGTGAACGGAATAGGGATGCCGTCCATGTTCCTGCCAACATTGAAGCCACCATCCGATCCAGACGGAAATTCTGGCGCATCGACCATGAACTGCACTACCAAGAAACGACTGTCGCATCCATTGAGTAGACGGAGGCGGTACTGGCGAGGCTCCACCTTCATCTTGGGCCAAATTTTGCCATTGACGACCATAAAATCTCCAAAGAACTCGGCCAATGCAGACGGGTGGTCATCTTCGACTTGGGCGCCCTCACTTGACAAGTGGAGATCATCATGACGTCGTATGTATGTTAGTAAGGATCGCAACGACGATAACGGGCACAAAACGAATGCATATAGCAAGACTTACTCAGTGATGAAATCGGCATAGAAGGGATCGCCCTTGAAAGAAGGATAAAAGAGCTCTCCGTTTTCCTTGAACATTCTATCTTGTATGAGTAGAGGCATCTCGTATGGAAATGCTGGAAGATCGTACGCATTATCTGGTTTGCCAGTGTCTTTTTCATCTCGGATCATATAGACACCAGCCATTCCGGCATGAACATTCAGCCGTGTGATTCCCAATGCATGATCATGGTACCAAAGCATAGCTGCCGGTTGTTCATTGGCATAGACGTACTCTTCGTCGACCCACTAAGAACCAGAAGAGGAAAAAGAGATCAAAGAACATGAGCGTTTGAATCGAACCTGAGGAGGCCAAATACATTTTCGACAAAAACTCTTACCTGAGGTCCCTTGATGGCCCATTCAGGAGTGAAAAAGTACTCTGGATTTCCATCATAGGGTGCATCTGTGTGACTGCCATGCAGATGCGGTACAATGGGAGTGCCATGATTTTCAATGGTGTACTGTTCATATCCAGGAATGCTGTAGGCCCAGTGATAACTGGTGTCCACCACCGATCGTCCCGTAAAGTCACCCAGCTCTCCATTATCTTTGCCAGTCAAGATATACCCACCGCTGATTGGGATGTTGTTGATCCATTTCACTCTCAACGGCTCATCGGAAGTTACTTCAAAGGTTCTGCCTGGCCAAGTGTGTCCCGTGGCTTCGGTACCGTATCCCCAAATGGGAGTGGGCAATTTGTCACCGTTGGCATCGACGAGACCAGTGTCACTGACTCCAGTACCCACAGTGACTTCAATAGTGGTGGTAGTGCTCGTCTGGAACAAAAAGCTGGGGTCCAACGGATTGGGAAGATCTACCGAAAAGAGAGTCTGATGAGCAGGATCTGCCAATCCAGTGCTGGCAACTTCTGCCACCACTTTTTTGCCACCGCTAAGGAACACAAACAGAATCAAGCTTCTTTGGAAGATGGAAGCTTCCACCATGGTCGATGGTCGTCGTTTGGCGAATGTCGGCAGGAACAAAAGAGTGGTGAATAGACCGAAGGTCAAGGTAGAAGATACGGCACTATTGGTAACATGGGTGAGTTGGGTACCGGTACGGTGCGCCAAAATAGAGATTTCGAATTGCTTCCGACGTCTCGTCCTAAGTACCTTTTGGTGATTAGGAATCTTTCGAGCCTGAACGCATGCGCCACTGAGGTCAACGGATGCTCGCGCGCAAGATATGCTCGCCACTTATATTATTATTATTATATTAGCTTGCTACGTACATGTTACGCCGTCTCAACTTCCTCGTACAGCTCCCAATGAAGGTTTCTACTCTTTGCAAGAATTCATTATTAGAAGGTAGCATTTTAGCTCGCAGAGTTCTACCAAAGGGAAAAATCATTCAAGATCAAATACCGGTAAATCATCTCGGCAGCGTTGGCTCAAGGATTTTAAGAACGAGACCATGCCACAGTCACAAAGTTTCCTCGCAAAAACCTTCTTTACTAATGTCATTTACAAGATAGTACAAAACAATCAATAACTTATTGATAATTAACCAGCAATGGCGGCAAATGCGCAGGTGGTGGCAGCCGCGGTGGCAGCAACAGCAAACGCACACTCACTTCCACTCTGCCTGGCACCACTTGCTGCATTAGTTGCTCCCGCCTCGTCGTCCTTGGTTCCTTCGGAATCCGAATCCTCCGTGACAGCACCGTCCACGCCATCACCCACAGTGGATGTCGAGTTTCCGTCACCAGATGCTTGGTAGGATTCCGTAATCAACGTAGCCGCTCGCATACCCGTTACCATAGCCATTGCCATTGGATGAGCCCGCACCTCGGTCGGGAAGGCGGATGTATCCGCCACTCGCAGACGCCCGTTGCTACCAATTACCTTGAGCTCCGAATCTACAACAGCCATAGGATCTGATTCTGTACCCATTTTCATGCTGCACTGCAAATGCATTTCGGAGACTACAGAACTTCGAATGTAGGCTTTCAGGGCCTCATCATCCGTGAAGTCAGTCGTAAAGCCATTGGGTTCTAGAATCATGGGCGCCGAGAATGCCATGCCCGTCTGAACCATTTCCAGTACCGTCTTGAGCGATGCAAGCATGGGAGCAATACTTTCCTCGTCAGCGTACCAGTTTCGGCTAGTATCCATTTCCTCAGAAGGATCATCAGATCTCAGTTTCAGAAATCCTCCCGCCTTGCCGGAGGTATCCTTATTCTGATACAACCGAATAATCATCAGCGCAGTTCGTCCAGGACCAGTGGGAGACAGTCCTGTCATGAATTCCATGTCGGGAAACTCCAACGTCTCATTGGACTTGAAGAATGCATTGATGGTGTTGCGTCCCGCCAAGAGTCCAGGCAGCGGATTGTTGACACCACTAAAGGTGCTGGGATCAAATCCTAGGTTCGGATCCGAAAAGTTAGTCAGTTGAATATTGTTCAGCATTGCCGTCATCCACAAAACTCCATGGTCCTTCAAGCCACGTCCAACACCAGGGAGATCAATCTTGGATTCAATGCCAACTTCAGCGAGATCATCCTTATTACCAATTCCAGAGAGAAGAGCAATCTTGGGATTGGCCCAGGAGCCAGCGCTCAGCAACACTTCACGACCAGCTTGAACGTAGTAACGATAGGATTTGTACACATATTCGATCGTCATGGGTCCATCAGTGTTGTCGGGCATGAAATCATATAGCTGCACAACCTTGGCTCCTTCCAAAATGTGCAGATTGGGCAATTCGCCTTGGCGTTGAGGATCGCGAATAAAGGCATTGTAGGAACTGCCGTTGCGAAGATTGGCGGCACATCCCAATTGATTTCCGTCTTCATCGTACCAGCATCCTCCGGCAACTCGAGATTCCTGCAAGGATCCAATGGCGTCTTGATACCGGTTGTTGCTGTCTTGATCTCCCACCGGGACTCCCAAGTAGCGTTCAACGGCTGGAATCATTCCCGTAGTGTAGTGCACCACCGAAATGTTGTCATGACGAACAGGAATCAAGCCATCATAGCCACGATCGGGATTGGGAGTGGATCCATCAGCTCTGTCCACAGCTTCCAGACGGCGAAAGTAGGGAAGCAAGTTATCGTAGCTCCAAGCATCGTCGCCGGTGGCTTCCACCCAGTCGTCCAAGTCAAACTCAGGGACGCGACTGTGGCGGATACCGATAAGACCAAGCAAAAGTAGTGGCAATGCAAATAATAATGAGCCGACCAACCGGAGGAAGAGGAACACACAGAAGACCCGAGTCAACTGTACTTACTACCAGCCTCCATAGTTCAAACTGCTGGCACCTCCCAAAATTTTCGAGACACAGGTATAAATGTTGCGATCAGCACCAAAGTTGCCAGCCAAAGCAACTTCAGTGGAAAACTTGTGTTCACAGTAGGGACTTTCCGCAGCGTTGACAAACTCGTCATTGTTCATGACAATGGGCTTGTCCGAAAAGTCTTTGCCTTGATCCAACAGCAAAACGGTCGTGTCAGGCAGATTGCGTGCCAACTCGGCAGCTGCAGCAGCACCCGCCGTTCCACCTCCCACGACAACAAAGTCATAAAGCATTAGCTCCGTGGGCTGGCATGTTGGCTCCTCATTAGCCAAAGCGCCCGAGAGAAAGGCTGCGCCCAGAATAAGGGCCTTTGAAAGATACATCACTGTCTGTATTAGACTACGGTACTGCTTCCAACTACCTATTATAACTGGTGTCAAATCAAAAGCACCGGAGATGTTCAAGTTGTTCTCCGTGTTGAAAAATGCTAGGAAGGAGGAGAGTTGTTGGAGAAGGGGGAAAAAGACCCGGTAAGACGGTGATGTCATTTGGCGAAGAAGTGTGGGGTCGGTTTGAAGCCAAGACTCCAAGCCAGCAGGGCATAATGTCTGCTGGAGTGACCAGTCTGGCCCGCCACCCTGTATGTGGCTGAAGGAGCCAGCAATCACCCAAAGCAGCCCACTGTTTTGGTTTCCTGATTGCTGGATGCCACCAACATGCTTTTGGACCATGGAATTTTGCTTTTTGCCGTCCATGGTCCCTTTCTCTTATGGTGCCTTCTGCCTAGTGTCCTGCATAGTCAGGCGCTGGTGTAGGAGTTTCACCGGACCCTGTGTGTCTTCGACCACAGGTGATCCCGTCCTTCTTGGACCCATAGGCGCCGTTTGATCGCCTCCCCACTCCTCTTGTCGATTGCTCTTAAGAGCCGCAAGGACCGATCACGGTCGTAAGGAACATGCCCCTTGGGCTTTACTATTATTTAGTTATCCTAGCATTAGCAGTTAGACGTGCCATCATGGCCGTCTTAGACGTATTTCTCCTGTCTCCCGCCATGGTGGATGCTTTCTTGCCACCGTACCACGTGGTGACCCGTGGAGGTTCGCACCCCATGGTTACCCGTGGAGGTTCATACGCACCTCTTGCGTACGTCACGCTGAAATTTCGTCCACCTGGGGGGACCCCTGGATTTAATACGGAGGCGCCCTCTAATCCCCAGTCGTGCATTCGTCGCCCAGAGGGCCGCGCGAGGCGACTCCCCTCGGCCCACCAATTTCTGGCGTAGATGGCCGTTTTGCATATTTGAACATCTAAGACAACACTAAGGGATATACGTTCTGGCTGCCTACCCCCACCCTGTCGTCCGTCAACAGCATCCCCTTTACTGTTGCCGATACAGGGACGGTCCTAGTTCGCCGAGTGTCCGCCACATGCGGCCGGTCGTTGGTTAGCTCGGCCTGTATTGGCCGTGGGGTTCAATATTTCCCTCGGGATTTCCTGAGCCCCAAGGGCGGATTGAACTCACAAGTCGATTCCTTACTGAGTCCAAAACCCGCCCTTGCTTCCTGCCAACCATCGCTAGCCTTTGCCTGCCATGTCTGCTCGTCAGCTCTCTCTCCGTCGCGGAAAGAATGGACCCGTCCAAACGTTTTCTCGTGCCCGAGGAACCGATGAAACTACTTCGGCTCTCCTCCGTCGTACCCTCCAGCCTGGCATGAACAATAACCATCGCCAGCAGGTTCTTGGGGATCCCAGCAATGCCTCCCAGTTTGCTTGCATCTGGAATACCAAGGTTGGAATCCTCACCCGTCCCGTGATCATCACCCTCGACAATGGAGACCCCGCTGTTGTTGGAGATTTTACCGACACCATTGGTGAGCCCTTCGCTGTGACCCTCCCGGTTGATGAGTTCTTTGGGTTTGTTACCACTCTTGTCCGGGCTGGTGATGCCGCGCATTTCCACTTGGGAGTGCACCCCACCTCCCCAGATACTGTAGCCGGACCGCCGGTTGCTCCTCCTGGTGGAGGCCCTCCTCCTAGGCGCAACCGGCAGGACCCTCCAGTCCCTGTGGAAGCTACCCTTGGGCGCCTCAACTTCCCTGGCCTCCCTGACGAACCTGGCGATGATGACCTACCAAGGATTGCAGCTCTGCCGTTGTTCCTCCCTCTTGAGCCTGGTTTCACGTTTGAACACCGCTCGGATCTCCAGAACAACCATTCTTACCGTGACACCTACCGCCTTTTTCATGTCTGGAGGGAAGGAATGCAGTACCTTCGCGCCATGAACGGGTGGATGTCCGTCACCACTGGTGGGACTTTGTTCCACCTCCCTGGTCTGG